CCTTAAAAGCAGAACTTCTATTCCGAATTGCTTTTCCAACATGCAACTTAAAGCATTCACAAACAACATGGAAATAGAACCATGGGCACAAGATGTGTATAAATATAAAGTTTATTCAGTATAGTGTTTAGAAAAATAAGTTCACATCATCTCAGAATACAAATAAAACACTTAATTGTCCAGGCACAAACCCCTATTACAGTACAACAAACATACAGACTTTAGATCTCTTTGGTTGGGTAATTAAGCACAGATATGTTTGATGACACTCTGGGTAGGCATCACCTAACAGTGCAGTAAAGACCTCTGATTATTCCCTCCTGTAATGCATACATTCCATTTAGATTTCATATTTGTTGTAAGGCACAATAAACCCTTATCACAGAAATAACTGGTTAGTTCTGGACAAACAGTACATGCAGCAAAAGAACAAACATCCTCTGAATGTGAATCCTGGAAGCCCGAAGATTCACCCCCTCCTTGAGTTCAGAAATGTAAGAAGCTACTTTTGAATTATATGAAACGTACAAGTAAGGTATAAAACATCCTTCAAGATAGTAACTGCTAGGAGGTACAGGAAGACTTTAGGTCTTCTTGCTTGTAAAATGTCATTACTTTATATCCAGAGTTTAAAAATATATTATTATTTTTATGATTTGAGATGCTTCCTGACCACAGTCGCTACATGATTCAAGCCCTGGGAGTTCTGCACATTTATTTGGTAAGGAAACTAGGGGGGTGAACGCTGTCGGTTGCTTGTCTGTCCTTGGTAAGCAAGGTGCACAGGCACTGGAAATCTACGTACAGGAAAGTCCCCACGCACGCGGGGCCAAATTCTGCCCTGCGTGATTTTGCTGAAGTCTGTCACTGAGCTGGTTTGACAGTCTGAAGTCAGAACCTTACCCAATTCCCATTAATCCTGACCTGAAAACAACACTAAAGCTGGTTCCCAGCTTCCTTCTGAGCGTGTCTTCCTGGATGCCCAGGCAGGGCAAAGCCACAAATGGAAAGAGGTATTTGCATTATAGATTATTATTCAGTTATAACAGAGTATCCGCCGTGAGAACGGGTTCACACTGCCGTAGTACCCTGGACCAAGTCTGGCCCTGGTTCAACTCCGGTGAAATGAATGGACCATATTCTCAGTTGGTGTGAAACGACATTAAAGCCAATAAAACTGTGGTAGTTTATCCCAGCTGAGGACCTGGCCAATCGACCTCCATGATTTATGCGGCTGAAATGTCCTTTTAGGTAAGACCACAGGAATAATGTTACAAATAGTCCACACAGAGCATTTAGTCAAATATTTTTCCGGTTCTCATCAGGACTCTGGATGAAATAAAGGCAGCTTTAATTAAAACTATTAAAAAACAAAGAATTTTTTAAAAAGCTCATTCTTAGAAGGAATCTGCTTAAACTTCAAGCATATTTTTCAACACTTGAATCTGTGACCAAAAAAAAGTAGTAGAATTTGGCAATATTTCCTGTAAGATTTCCAGTGGACTTACAAACATATGTGAAGTTGAAATGATCATTTATTCACATCCTTAAGAGAAGGGGAGGGAAAAGGAGTTTTGCTTCTATTTTAATGTTGGATAGACATATCTTCCATTTAAACATGATAATAAGGACTGTCTGTGGGACTCGGATGCTCACTTCCACTCGTATGCGTGGGAGATGAGCATCCCTATCCCGTAAAGATCATCTAAAATCCTCAGTTGGGAATGAGGGGAGCGATGCCTTATTTACAGCAGCTGAAGATCCGGCCCCGGATGCTCTGCGGGGCTCTGTGTACTGTGTAATTAGAGCAGTTTGCCTGCTTGCTTCAGGGCCACATAATAAAAACTGACCCTTATTTTACAGTAGGAGTAAAACTACTATTTAAATATCTACTTTAAAAAACACTGTACCGTGCAATGACTCTTTATATTGTGCATATGTACCTGCAGAAAACTTGAGGTTATAACTACATTATCTGGAGGGAATGACACTTACTTTCAATGGCAGAAAGAGTAAAACATATTAATAAAATAAGTTACTTGATATCTGGAAGACTAGAATAGATTAATCTTGCTTTGTCCCAAACCACTGCTTTTATGTACATCCTTGGCTCCTGCTCGAGAGCAGGAATCTCCTATTGGAAGTACCAGGTGCTCCCAGACACACAACACCCTAACAGGGCACATGGTTTTCACACCAACTGTGCCACAAAGCCACGGAGTTCAGAGCCTCAGTAACAGAATGAGCGCAAGGGAGAAAAGGAAAAGTAACACGCACTGACATAACACCACAGTCATTCAGTTATGAGATCTGATTGCTTCGACAACCGAGTGCTCTGAAATAGTTCTAGCTCCCCTCTAAAAATAGTCTGAGCTTTACAGACCAAACGTTAAGCTGCAATGACTCCTCCAGAGCCATGCGCAGCTCCCACTCCATGCACATACTCTGTTAATATGACAAAGATACAGGGTGCTTCTAACCTCCCAAATAGTTGAACAAATTCATGCAACGCAGACGCAGTCACTGTTACCATCGTCTTGGTTTTGTAGGTGCTCAGCCAACTGCCCACCCTGGAGACAAGCAAAGCCCAAACAACCAGGCACAACCAACCAGAGAAACAACCACAGCAGAGAGGGGACCTCCAGGCTCCCCTGCTCCTGCGTCACGCTGGCCGCTGGGCACATTGTGCAAGGGGCACACAAGCTCCAGGTCCTGCCTGCAATAATCTCCATTTTAAAACACTTGCCTTAAACGCCCTTTTTGCCGGCGCGCGCACAGGGGCTGCTTCTACGTGGACAGCACCAGCAAGGGCTTCCAGCTCCAAGTGCCACCCTCACCCCCTGCCCTGCTCTCTCCCTGCAGCCGGGCTTGCAGCACGACCTACGGCGCTCGCCAGCAGAGTCCAGCCTTGAGCTGGCACCCAACACCTTGCCAACAAGCTGCGTCCAATATAGTGCAAAATAACAGCGAGGATGTCCAGGCCGCACAGAAAAACCTTCACTCCTTAAAGGCTTTTCACAGAACCAGTTAATAACCAAGACAGGAGCAGACTGGGACATGCTACCTCTACTCTCTTCCCTCTCCAATTATTTTGTCCTTTATGAGTGTTTTTTGTCCCAGGCCTGATTCAGAGCCGTTGGAAGTTTATGAAAACCTTCCCCATCGTCTTCCAAAGGCTTCGAACGCGGCCCTGTATGAGGATGAATACATGTTTTAGGTACTGTACATGTTCACATTAGAGTAAAAATAATAATAAAAAAACCAAAACCACAACGATTAACAGCATCTCATTTTTATACATCTGCATTATTATCATTTTAAAGCTTAAGGATGTGCTTTTCCATGCTACAAAAATTTATCCGGAGGAAAGGTAAAACCTGCTCCGCCTGCCTCGGGCTGGCGTGTTTGTGCTGTCCCTGCTGGAGAGCAGGGGCTGAAGGGAGAGGAAACCCCCCACGGCAGCACAGGAGCGGCTGCTCCCTAAACCTCCAGGGCAGCTGCGTTCCCACCGGCAGCCCCTGCACTCTGTGCTGGGAGGATATCCAGAGGTCCCTTCCAGCCTTAATGATTCCATGATATATAAATCCAGGCTTAAGTGCACTGCTGGACTGGGGCCGGCATGCGGGAGCGGTGGCTGAAGGCCCTGCACATGGATCTGTGGAAACTCGGGACTCCCATCCCTGTCCAGCCCGTGTGCCTGAGGCCGGAGCCAAGTCTGTCCCCTCGGCACTGCCTCTCTGCCTGCTCCTTCTGCAGGGCTTACAGGGCGCTCAAGGGTCTCTCTTTGGCCCAAATGCCACCCATAAGGAACAAAACACCAACTCTTCTTACTTGTGCCTTGCACCGAGGTCTACTTGGAAGAGCAGGGCATCAGGACCGAGCCCTGAGGACGGATATTTGCAAATCAGTGTTTTTATTCCTCCTGCCACTGTGCTTTAGTAACAAAGATAAGGCCACTAGGAAGAAAGGCACATGGAATTCCGTAAAAAATACACAAAAGGTTCAACTAATTTGCAAATTACTAACAAAACAAACAGAAAACCCCTGAACACAAAGACAGAGGGTAAAGACAGGGACCTTTTGGGTTTGTGACTTTGGGAGTTCATTTTCTAGTTTCAGTGTGATTAACGTTTTACTTTTACAGTCTACTGCTTGAAAAACTAAAAAAAAAAGTAAAACCTTGTCAGAAATAACTACGTTTACTTCCTGCTCAAACAATAAAAATAAATTAAACAGCCAGAAAACGTTTTCCTTTTCAATGCATTGTGTCTAAAGTGAAAGGGAACATAAACCATAAATAAAATCCATTGTACTAATTTAAAAAAGTCTCCTTTATAAGAACTGAAACAATATTTACATTCATACTCGAAAGCTTCTGAGTTGCATAATTAGAGTTTTAAATGATGCTTTTTCTGCTGCACTAACAAAATGCTAGCTGTAGCATTTAGAAACCTGCAAGTGTTTGATGCAATATTTTTGGTATGAACCCAAGTCTGCTGCAAAAAAAAACCCAACAAACCAGTAACAGTATTATTCGTGATTTTGTTTCATTTCTTAACCTCAAACAATATAAAAGTAGCCTGTGAGGTATCGTCTAGAGTTTCTTAAAAACTTTTCAATGCCCATGGACTAGAAGTAAACAGCAAAAAAGACTGCATCGTTTCTACCTTTCTGGAGCGAGACTTCTGCTTGCTATCTATCACTAGGAGTGTATACTTACTGTTGAGAGCATGTTGTGCTATGGAGAGGCTAGTTAAATTATCCAAGGAATACCTGTTAGCCAAACCAGTACCCATTTGCTTGGTACTTCCCCTGGCATTTCCTTCTCTTTTAATCTGCTTAAAAGAGAATACTGCATGCAAGCCAAGTGTTGCAACCTAATTCCGTTGCTGGAGATTCCTCTGTACGTTAACTCAGACCATTTAAATGTCGTTCTGTTTTCTTCAAATGAAAAAAAAGAAACAACCAAAACAAAAACAAAAAAATCATCACTTGGTGCTTGTTACAGCCTCAACAAGAGACTTAACTCTTAAAACAGAAAGCAAAAAAAAAAAAATTACAAGTCTTGCATATCTTCATCCATTTGAACTGTTTGCAATTTGGCAAGTTCTTTTTTATCTGTTTCCAGTTCTTCGCAGACTGTGTCAACCACGTTACTCATAACATATTTGGATTTCGTATCCAGCATCATTAGGTTGCCCGTTGACTTGCTCTCAGAAGTAGGTAAGAAATTCTCCTTGACGTCAGGTACGGCTTGCAGAACTAACCTGTGCTCTCTGACAAAATCTGGGTGCACTTGGGCAGGTGGATGGCTGACACGGTCTCCAGCGGTAGAAACTATTTCGCCGAGCGCAGGCTGTGCTGTAGAAATGGACAGCAGATCCTGACTGGTAATGAGGGAACAGTTTTGAAGAGTTGCATAGTTAGTGTTGCTGATAGATATCACGGTGGAGGTACTGGTTACGGGCGAGGACATGGGCTGGCTCTCCGAGATACCAGAGCTCAGTTCTGCAGCATTTAAAAGAGTTGGTGGCGTGAGGGAAAAATTATGCGAGGGAGTTACATTCACTAGTGAGGAGGCCAGGGACTGGAGTCCTCCACCAGATACATTTTCAGAAGACATGTTTACATTTAGTTGCGTGTTCTGACCAACTGGCATTAACTGGGAAAAGACAAGGCTTCTTTCCAGTCCTTCTTGCTTAACAGATCCTACTGCCTGACCTGAATTGGGAACTGTATAAACCACTGCACTTGGCGTGAGAGGGCTGAAGAAAACCTTGCCTTGTTGCACTGTTGAGGAGTCACTTGTAAAAGTTCCTCCATCTGTTGTACTAGGATTTACTGAAACATTACCTGGAGAAAGAGAAGAAAAAAAAGAAAAATGATACAGATTAGAGTTGGAAGGAGTTACACAGGCATTTTTGTTAAGACACTTTGGTCTCATTTTATTTAGAGTAATATGCTAATATATCAAACAACACAGAGCAGTGTTGTTTATAACAGGTGAGAGAAAACTAGGTATGAGGAAATAAAAGCTTCTGTGGATAAAAACTGCTTCTAGAAAGCAAACAGAAAGGTTAGGGTATACTAAGTATCTTTCAGAGTCTCACAGAGGGGCAAATAGTCCCTAGCCATGTGATTAAAATGAGTGTGCTTTGGCCTTCAGTAGTTGCTACCGCTTGATTTCTATCTAAGAATAGAAGCACGAAAAGCTATTAAAGATAGTTCAGTGACAGACTATGACTTGTGTGTGGGAAACTGCAGGCACATTACATGAAATGTGCTACAGCCGAGCAGAAAGCTACCTGAGCAAACCTGCAGAGAAGAGCTCAAAACCAGGGGCTTCTACCAGCCTCACTATGTAGCCAGTCAAGCATTCAAATGCCTTTCCCCTTTCCTTATCATCTTTTTCCAAGAATCTAACCCTAGCACATCCACCGCTCAATGCAGAGCCACATGAAAGCTGGCTAAGCTCCCAGGAACCCTGAGAACTGCTCCTGTGATACTGCAGCTAACCAGGGCGAGAAGAGGTGGGCAGGCAAGATCTCAAGTTGGTTTAACCGAACATGACACATTAGGTGTGATTATAGTCATTCCTACACCTAGGAAACTGGCTCTCACAAGCAAGTCCCATTTTAAGCATCTCTCCTTCTCAAGAGTGTTTCAGAGTGTTCTAAAAGCTTAAACAGGGGATTTCTTTAATAATAATAAGAAAAAGCTAAGAGCATTTAAAATGCAAAGAGTGTTTTAAGAACTTAAACAGGGGATTTTTTTAATAATAATAAAAGAAAAAGCTAAGAGCATTTAAAATGCATGTCACAGATGGGGAATGCTCATCAAAACAGTCACTCCCTGTTCATTTCCACTAGGCAATGGTGACTTTGGGAAGATGTTAGCTGTATGTCTGAACTAGAGGAATAAAGGGAGGCAACTGAAAGTGGCAATAAGCTATTATTTACTGTAGGTTCTTTAAAATAGCTTGCAATGCACTTCACTTGGAAGACACTGCCAGCAACCCACAACATCTTAAAAGGTCCCCCCAAAATAATAATATTTTTTAAAAAATCAAAACAACAGGTATCTTCTCTCCATACACGCAGCAAATCAATCTCCATCAGGAATTGATATTTTTAATAATGGGCAAAAAGTCCAGCCAATAGTTGATGTTTCTCGGGACTCTGAAATACAATTAATTCTCCCATGCTACTTAAGGGGCAGAAATTTCATTGCCTCCCTTGCTGGCTGCCAGTTTTTGCCTTGCAGCATGTGGATTAAATGGCTCTTAATTACAGGCAGTATTCAAATTAAACATCTGATCTTTCTCATCTAGCTAAACTATTATTCCACTAATTTCCAGTGACAGCAAGTACCACCTTTTAAGCTTATGTACTTTTGTCCCCCCATTTAAAATGTTTTTGTACACTTCAGTGTTCCCCATTATATAATTTTAACAACAAAAATAATTAACTCCCTATACACATTTAATTCCAGTAAGTTAACAGGAACATGATTTGATTTCCATTGTGTTATTCACAGCTCTTGAAACTACAGGGATTCATTCAGGTTTAATCATTTTCATAACTAAAGATACAGTAGTTAATAAGTAACAGAGTCGTGCTTTACAACAGACCTACATCAAAATAATGATCCAGTCCTAGACTTGCTTTACAGGGGATTCTTCCTGACTGACCAGAAGTTTCAGTCTGATATTTTACAACTACCTCTAGCACAAATTTTGGGAGGAGCCTGCAGACTTGGCATGTGAACCCTTGATGACATATTCCCCTTGGACTGAGGGCAGTCTAATCCAAATACCCTTGGATTGTATACCCTTGGATTTATATCTACAAGCAATTACATATTTCTATTGTTTCCTGCTGGTTTAATCGTTCTTAATTATAGGATAGAAAAATGTATGAGCATAACTGTTTGGTGTCTTGTTGTGTCTATAGTCATTTTAAATTTTTTTCAATGGAATGCCTTGGTTAGAAAAAACACAAAACAACCACCACAAGAACAACAACGGTAACAATTTCCAGCTGCTGCAGTTTTCATTTTTATAAACCTTCTCATTAAAAGAATTCAGCGGCAAAGAGGGAATATTTTGAATTACTGGAATGTGCAAAAATTATAAATACTTGTGAAAATTAATATCAAAGAGAACAGAGAACTGTAGGGGATTTAAAAAGTGTGAAATACTGGACATTCTCCTCTGCTTTAAGTAAATCAGCTCTGTCTCACTTGGCATCCACCCACGAGTGTAACCTACATGGAATGACACAGGGAGGAAGCTAAATGAAGGTGGGAAGTATTATTTGATGTATGGTATGTGGCTGTGGCCAAGCGGGTACATTGGAGGAAAAGTATTGCAAGTTCTGAGGTGCAAAGCATGCCCAACCACACTTCTTCCTTGGAGCTTTCAGTGTAACAAACAGAACTTTTACCTTGTGAAGCTGCCACAGAAACAGGAGGCAGCTGCAGAGAAGAAAAACCGATGCTTCCGTTCAGCAGCTGGCCATTTGTTCCTGAATTGGGGATCTGGACAATGCCATACTGGTTTATTTGGACAGGAGCAGTAAAAGTAACTACAGAGCCTCCATCTTGGGAAGCAACAGTTTGAGTGCTCTCCCTTTTCACCTCAGCACTTGGTATCAGTCCTGGGAACGAGACCGGGATGTTAGTGGGGCTGAATGTAGCTGCTGCAGCGTTAGGGACAGAGGCCTGGAGGAGTTTGAAGTCCTTGACATCTTCTGAAGACGATGACAATATGTCAGTGATTGACACCCCGTTGCTCACACCGCTGGAAGTGGTTTTAGGCGAATTCAAAGTTACTGTCTGCGAGGCCCCCACGCTGAGTCCATTGAGAATGACACCGTTGGGTCCCTGGAGGAAAGAGCTACCGTTGAGAAAGACAGGAGAGGTACTGGCAGGCACGAGGTTTCCGTTCAACAAGACGCCCGATGAGCTCAAGGCTATTTTAGTGTTTCCAAGCTGCTGCATGTACACGGGCTCCATGTGGCCGGGAAGGCTGAGGCTGGTAACTCCATCAGACGAGCTGGAGAGCGGATGCGGAGATAAGTCCTCCTGCCCCTTGCTGGATTCATCTTCCGTGCTGGGGTTGCCATCTGACTCGCTACGGGGAAAGAGGGAGACACGGCATTACTGTGGCCTGCTGGGGACCGTCAAGACCAAACAGGACTGCTTGCTCTGACAAGGCCCATTAGAAAAATATCTTTTTTTGGGGAAAAAAAAAAACAACAAAAAAAACGCCACTTATTTTCTGCTTTGTCTTTAAAACACACTTTCAAGCGATTCTAGCCGAAGGCGGGGTTTCTGAGGAAAGTGCACATGGAAACAGCCCTTTGGCCAGCGTGAAACTTCACAGGCCGCATTAGGGACTCGTAAATAACCCCCCTCGCAGTGGTCACCCAGCCCGGGAGCCGCGCGGCCCCCGCACGTGTGAAACCCGCCGGCTCCCTT